TTATTATATATAAGCTCACTCAAAATAACTGTAACTGCAATAACGATCTATTTAGAAAATATAGGAAAAACTTGAACATTAAAGTAGCCCTTGCAAATAAATGAGATTAATGTTTAGTTTGCAATTAGAATTGCAACTCATTGAGTTAAGCAGAAGATTCAAAGCTGAGAAAGAAAGTGAAGAGCAACAGCAAGGAACAGGCAATCATTAGAGACACTCTATATAGGTACATGAACTACAAATCAATCTATGCTAGGAAAACAAAACAAAATAAAATTGATGATTTCAATTTCAGTGTTATCCAAGTTTGTTTTCTGTATTTTGCTACAACATAGTTTAATATAAATGCAAATAAGGTACTTATCTCTGCTTTCCAAGGTACTTTGCTTAGAACAGTTGCTTCCAGATGCAGTTTTCGCTTAAAACTCCACCATACAAGAATAATTACCTTTAGATCTACTGACACCTACTTAAGAAATGGATCACGCTTATGGGAGTGAATAGTACTGAATAATCATACCCCCAGTAACGACGACATAAGTAACATCAGCTTTCACATCTATGTAAATAGTTCACAGGCAGAGAAAGTTCTTCCTCCTAGAGGAGACAAATCTCATGTTCCTCTCTTAAGTAGCCCTCATGTTGTGCCCTGTGTTGCACAGACATGGATCCTTGGAACAGAAAGTTCATGCTTATACAGCACTTTTTAAATTTATATTTTAAATACAAACTTTTAGTGATTGTCAGAAGGACTAAGCAACCTGAAGAGCTTGTACTCACAGCACACTAATCTTTTTCTTGACATCAGAGCATTCAAGGGGGTTTGTTTGCAATTGGATGAAAATAAACCAAACGCTGAAAAACTGCACTATACACTTCAGAGCACACGTTCATTGATATAGTTAATTAAACCTGAACATTAATGTAAGGTTTGTGTTTCCCTTGGAATGCTGCTAAATACTTCATTCAAGTGTACCACTGTAGAGACTTGCAATGGATATTTTAAAAAGAAAGTAAAATCAGCATTAAATTCAAAATATATACTTCATTGTTAAAATATTTTTAGGCTATACAAATAAAGCAAGATGAATTAAAAACTGCACTAGTAGTTTATCCTGATAGAAAGTTGCCTTTAATCTCCATACATACTCACCAATGAAAATTCAGAGGAAAAGTGTTAACTAAAATTTTGTAAAAGTGGCAGAAGTTTTTTTTTTTTTCCCTCAGAGTACTTTGGAACATGATAATTTCTTATGTTTCACAGATCTAAAGGAATAATAGTTATTAGTATGAAATTATTAATGTGGATCACAATTGCTAGTCCCTTCAGCCAACAGATTAGTCAACCAGCAGAATAAGTTTGTATGGTTTAAATGATTCCAAGATCCATACCCCTTGTTGCTGAATTCATTAACAGTACTTTCAGTTTGCCCTTACCAGCTACTTTACAGTATTCATTTGCTGATGAATTTCTATCTCAGGTCTACCAGAAGTCAATATTTAAGGTGAAAAAATGGCCTTAGTTCAAAGCATACTACACACACACAAAAGTGACAGGCATTAATTTTCCTCCAATTTTTGTAGAATTATATGGAACATTTAAAGATATGGAGAGATATGTCTATTTCAACTAATGATACTAGCATCCTATGGAAATCATTTTATCTTCAGTATATTTTGGAAAAAAAGTATATTCAAAAAACTTCAGAAATGTACATTTTTTTAAAATATAAATAATGTAGAAGAGTTAGGCTTACAGCAGTAAGATTATTTATACTAGAGACTGCTTTACAAAATGGTCTTAAGAATCAGCACAAAGTTAACTGTATATTCAGTATGAGGCCTGTTAATCCTATTTGCTATATACATTTACTAAACTCATCAGAATTACTTTCGAAATTTGGCTCTTGTTCTCAGTGGTGATAGATGAACCATATATTCTCACATCATCTGAGATACAGCCTTTCAAATAATGACAATCTTTGATATCTTTGTCCAGCATCAGCAAATTGTAATACTAAAATAAAGTCAGACTTCATTGAATTATAATGTCATTTAGCTAAGAACACTTATTTCCCACTCTTTTTTACTTATGCCTATCCAATATTTTCTGACAGAAATGAGGATTATATTCATTAGAAAAGAGAAATACTGAGAACACCACTCCCTAACAATTACAGGCAATATGAACAGCTGCAAATAGTTCTCATGACACTAACTTTTAAAACAGTGATTAAAAACTTCTAGAGATTTACCACCTTACTCCATTCCAGATATATTTGAGAGTGATTTTAAAAAGATTTTCAATATTGAAGTATACTTTCCGTATTTGTACAAACTGCTAAATTAGAAATAAGAAAAGCAGCTAGTAAACTGCCACTTTGAAAATTTAAAAATGTACTTTGTTATGGTAAGCAAGTATCCTATATTTGGGGGAAAAAAAGCAAAAAGCTACGTTTAAAAGAGTGTTAGTATTAATATTACTTGGTGTTAGTAAAAAGAAAGAAGAGAAAGCTAGATCTAATTTAGCTGGTTTTCAAAGGCTGTTTTCTGACCTTCAGTACTTTTTACTGAGCATTTCAGATTGTTTTCCTCTCCACTATCAGCATGATAGTAACCCAAAAGAGAAATACAAGAATTAATTATTAAGTCCACAAGCTTAAGACCCCTTACCCTCTGGATTTTCTGGGCTCCTCTTGCTTTGCACTGTTACAGAGACATGCATAAACAACAGAATTTCCTGCATCCTTTTCTCATCTGCACAGTATTGGGATTTGGCCAACAGTATTATTTACAACCTTAAGGCCACTCCACACTAACTTGAGAATGACTCCCATTGGCCAGGCTTTATCAGAACTAAAATCAAAATATTTTTCTTTTATGAAGAAGTCATTTATCCAACAAATTGTTATGCCATCTTGTCCTTTCCCAAATATTGCTTTCTTCAATTTTTATTCCTTAGCATCTTTCAGAACTGAAGACTATGACCCCTGCCTCCTAAATATTATGCACAAGCTAAAATTAATTGTCCTAATCCCAGTAATTAAGCACACGCACAAGACTTAACCATACTTTGTGGATTCTTATGCTGCCCCTCAGTCCTATACAGATTTCCTGAGTTTTAAATAACTGATGGTATTTCCCTCTGGATGACTATCATCTAACTATGAAAATACATGTGCTAGCTAGCTATGTAATTAATCAGACATTATGCAAACTTCTATTTTAGATTATCATTGTATAAGAACAGAGCAAGGAAAAATTGAAAAAATTAAAAGCTCATTTCTGAAAAATGAAATAATTCACATTAAATTTGAGGGTTGTTGTATTAATACAAAGGTAAGAAGTGTTTCTTCAAATAAGCTCACAAATTTTTGCAGCTGACATGTAACAATGTATGATGCCACTGGTGTTCTGAAACTGATACTACAGGCCAACTACATGGCAGGTCCTAGAGGTATTAAATTGATATCATTTCATATAGCTTACATTATATTTGCCATAGCTTTGAAAAGCTTAATATTCTCAGTTACAAAAATCTCACTATATTCTTTGCCAGGATTTCAGACTGAGAAGCCAAGTTCCTTACACATAGCTTTAAGGAACATAAGTCTACTCCCCTATTAATAAATGCTGAAATATTAATAACAATAAAGCAGTCTTTTCATCAAGAGTCTCAGCTATAGCCGCAAGACTCTTCACTTAAGAGCATTCTCTGACAGTGCATTTATTTTGAAGAAATGAACATACCTATACTCCCACTCCCATCAACAACACAGGCATAATACAGCACCCGTGATGCAAAAACTCTACTGCACTGACTGCATACGAAGGGCACTCTGTCAAAAAAAATAAAAAGTGGGGGAAACTAGATATTCCTATGAATATAAAAAAGTTTAACACCTGTATCAAATTAAAAAAGTTAAAGTAACTGTTGTCTTATTGTATCTTCAATGGCTCTTCCTGCAGCCACATCTCATATCCCACTGGAATATTCTCTAATAACATCACCCATCCAGTCCTCAAGTACAAATTAATTCCATTTTTTTCCCCCATAGTAAATAAAACCTCATAAATTACCTATAAAATAGTTTTCACTAGAAAGCATTACTGTATATACTCAATAGTCAAATAGCAGCAGCCACTTCCGCAAGATGTTCAAACACCGTAAGAACAATTTGATTTGAAAAATTTTATTCATATATTTTTTTAGAGGATATAAAACATAACAGTGTCACTCTGGCATTACCATTCTCACTAATGGGAACAATTTGTGCTGTCAACATTTTGAGTTACAAAATTTGGCAATATTGAAAACATTATGTTACTAATAAAAAGACTATTTTCATTTAGGTTTCAGATGGTCTGGATTTCATCTCTATCCATTTCAGTAAAGGAACACTCAACTGTATCTTTAAACCAGCAGATTATAAAAAACACACAAACAAGTATGAGTTCCTGATTTTTTCTTGTAGTCCAAAAACAAGATGAACACTGGCTGCATTCGGATGGTGAAAGTTTCTTAGTAGTGCCTATAGGCTTACAACAATTAAAGAGGACATAAAAATTTTTAAGGTATTTAAGACCTTGTGCCATGCTCTTGTAATGACTTTAAGTCAATTACCTCTACTCAAAATTAAATCAAAAGTAAAATTCAAATCACAATGTGGTTTTTGTTTGCTGTTGTTTTGGAAAGGATCAATGTACTATTTTTCTCATTTCTAATACACAGTAACTACAGGAACACAATCATTTCATCTTACTGTACTGTTAAGTATATCAAAAATATATTTTTGGATAATTCAATAACAAATTTTAGTTTACAACACTTTTCTCAATTAGAACTACAGGAAAAGCTCCTATACTTGCAAAGCTCTATTGTTTGGTGTTTTTTTTTTTTCCAACCTGACATGGTTGCAAAAAAATCACCACATTTTCAAAGCAAGTGTTATTAATCATCTAAGACTATCACATACAGAATGATAATGAGACATTGCCATGAAGTGATATGCAAACTACTCCCAAAATTATGGAGAAGCATAGAAAAAGAACTTGGTCTGGGCAGACTGTCAGGGAAATGTCTTGAATTAAATTGTAGTGAAAAAATCACTTTTCAATTACTGTAGAAGGAACAGCATATGTGGATATACTCAACTATTACAAATAATCTGCAAGTATTATACCATACTAAATCCAATAATTGGTTGTGGGAAGAAAAGGGTTGACATTAGTCTAAAGACAACAATATTTACTATAGTTTTAAAATGTTCTCTCGTTAAAGTGCTTTGTCCAATCTATTTGTTTCTTTACATGTAGTTTCAAACCCATCTCTATCTATTTCACTGCCAGTAGCAGTCTGAAGTGATAAACACCCACTGCAAAACCAAGTGTTAAGATCATTGCAAGTCTCTTCCATCTAAGATAGTTCTAAAGAAATTTTTTTTAAAAATCACTAGCATGATCCTTCACTAAGGAGAAGCCCCTTGGTAAATTGATCCATTCTAACTACATACAACTGCCCAAAAGGTTAACACCTACTGAATTGATTGTAGTTGTGTTAACCTGATACCTACATTCACCTCCAGGGAAGTTACTTATATTACTACTATAGAATTTTACTTTGCATAATTATATTCACTGGGAAAAAAAAGACAATTGGAAATATGAATGAGCATATTGAGTCCAGTATATTCCATATTCATGAGACTACATCTTCAGCTGCATTGGTTTTCTGACCTTTTTACTGAAAAGGAAAAAGACATTTACAATTTGCATTTTGTGATTAACGTGTTTTTGTCATTTTAAAAAGCATAGGAAAGACTGAAATGTATAATAAAAATATTTATTCTCTCAACAATTTTACATTTTAACCTCGTGTTCTTCAGTAGCAAACTGCCCAGTACAATTACTCCAAATAAATTTTCTATCACTAAATTACTTTGCTTAATCTTATTCTTTTTCTATTGTTAGCATTTTGTCATGCTGTATAATCAAAGAATATTAAGATAGCGTATAATCAAGGAAAATTGTATAAAGGAATATTGTATAATCAAATAATATTAAGATGTTATAATAGTGAAATAAACAAGAGAGTTAGGCAAAGCAAGACAAAGAGAACAGATAGAATGCTTACCCGTATCGTAGGCTTGCTCAGGAAACTCCAGTGGAGTGGATCTTTGGAAGAGAGATCCTTCCCCACTGGTAGTCAGCTCTTAAATGGGTCTAGGAGGGGTGGAGCCAGGCTCCACCCCTTCCTGCAGCACAGGTGAATTGCTTTCACCTGTGCTCCCCTGGCTGACTCATTGCTCACCTCAGGTGATTAATCAGAGGTGCAGGCTGTGACTCAGCAGTTCCCATTCACATACTAACATGCATGGCAAAAATGGAAAGATGCATTTTCCCAACATCCAGACCCCTATCACTGATAAGGCAAACATACACCTACATTCTGTACCATTTAACTTGATCCAAGTTGATGGCACAGATTTCTTCAGAACAAAACAAAGACAGTAATGTAAGAAAGCAGCAGAATAAAAGCTGTTATGTATCAACTTGTAGTTACTACAACGAAGACAAAAGGTGAGAAGCTATAAGGGTAATTTTCTACACTCTAAGTTATTACTGACAATCCCTTAACTATTGGGATAGCTAAAAGTGAGAACATAAGTATTAGGGGAAGTTAAAAAAAATTGATGTAAACATCTCAAGTAAGATTCCCTTTACATTTATAAAAGCATATTCATTTGTATTCTATAAATATATATATTTTACTTACTTAGCAAGTGTCCATTCAAAAAAAGTATTCTTGGGCAAAATTTCTCCACTTTTTATGCTATAACTCCTCTCCTTTCTTAAGGAAAGTCATTGCTAGAGTTGAGAGATACCACTTTCTAAGCCTAGAGAAGTCCATTTCTCCTCCCACCAGGCTTCTTCCATAAATTATCTACAGCAATTAAGCTTCAACAATTGCTGAAAACTATGATGTTGTGAATTAAAAATATTCTTCAAAAACAGTTTTGCAATGAGAAAAAAATGCACAAGCAAATCCTAATATCAGAATTAGAAACTGAAACCACCAGTAAACTAATTCAGTAACTTCTGCATTCTTAAAGTATTATTTTGTGGGGTAGTTTTTTCTTTTTTTTTTTTTTTTTCAGATGGGTGGGACTACCACTAGTCTATTCCAGTAGTAAGCCTTAAATCTTCTAGGAGCCTTAAGAGCTGAGTTGTTCAGCTTATTTACAAACAGACTGAAAAAAAATCTTGCCTAGTATCTAAGAAGGTGATCTGCCTTCACTTGTCAGAATTCAGCTAGAGTTAGCATCCTTATGACTGCATTAGCCAAGAATTAATCAAGTATACGCTTCTAACACAAGTTTGAAATTTTCTTAATAACTATCTTGAAAAAAATTGAAATTAACTGCAGTAAGTTTAAAAAAAAAACACCTTAAGGCTCAATTACTTTTTTTCTCCTCCTCTCTCTCCATGCTCCAAGAAAGTAATGAATGAAGTGAAAGTCAAAAGTTTTTTTTTTTTTTTTTTTTTTTTTTTTTTTTTTTTTTTTTTTTTTTTTTTACCTGTGTCAAGGTTTGGCCTGGCTTGGCCTGGTTCTGTGACCAAGGGAGCAAAGGGATCCATGGACCCATGCCCTAGGAAAGTGAAAGGTAAGGAAATGGGCCTAGGAGGAAAACAGTAGCAACATGCTAAGGAAAAAATGCTTACTAAATCTAACAGTGAAATGTGAGATAATACAATATATAATACAGTTGGAATTGAAGCTAATAAATAAAATGGGAAAGTTTCCAAAACTGAAATCCTTACTCTAATGCTGTAGGCAAGATAAGTAGGGAAAATGGAAAGCAAAAAAGCCAGTCTCATGATTCCTAGTCAGTTTTATCTTTCCCTCCAAATGGAAAATAGAAATGGAAAAAATGAGGTCTTCTGGGAGTTGTAGCTCATTCATTCTCTTCTGAAACAGAGATCGGAAATACTGACATTCCATGGAACTGCATCATTAACTCTTTAATCCCCAGTACACTGCATGATGCTATGATGTGGAATACAAAAATCATAAAGCTGTGACAAACTGTTTGGTATTTTTATGCATTACATAACCTATTGTAACAACTATTTATCATAATAAAAAGATTCAGTGACAATATGAATTTAGTTTTACTGATTAAAAACTTAAACTATGCATGTTTATATCTTTTTAAAAGAAAATAGATGAAATAAAATCTAGATAGAATTGCGAAGAGATTATATCAAGTGAAATGGAAATTATGATTTGACTTCACAAATAAACAAAACAAGAAACAGGCCCAGAGAGTGTTAATATGACATCTAGTAAAGCAGCTACAATTCTGCTCTCAGAACAGAGAACATAACAGCTTTTTCCGTAAGAGAAAGAAGAAATGCAACTTTTAGTTAAATTTTCAGTACTAGCTTTTACTCAGATGGCAGTAAGTTACTGCTGAAGAAGGTAAACAATAAATATTCCAGAAGTTTTCCTTTGACTAAGTGTATTGGTTGGCAAATCTGAACTTCAATAACTAATTGCTAACAGTCCCATAATTAGAATAATAGATACACAGACAGCTCTTTTATTTTTCCTTTTTTCCATATGCACATAATTTCTATGTAGTGGGATTACTTTTTTCCTCTGCAGCTCGTGCCAATCCATTGAGGTTGTTCTGAAGAAGGCAACCTGTTAGTTTATATTATGTGCAATTTTAACAATGTCATTACTCAAAAATGAACAAGTTCAGTCTCCTATTATATAACTTGTGGCTAAGCTCTCTAATACAGAAGAAAACATACTCATGCATACATTTTAGTTTATGACAAAAACATAAACTTCCTGAAGGCTGTGTGTACAAATAAAGGGAGAATATATAAACATACAAGATATCAAATTAGTAAAAAAAAAAATTTCATGATGCTGATACTAATACGCTTTCATGCTCTAAAATATATTGATGAAATAAAGAAGATATCTTACTTTTGATGTGAACTTCATCTTCCTTACTGGAATTAATAAATTTTACCTCCTAGAAGGAGATAAATCACAGGTTACATAAAAGCAACCACACACTTCTGACGTTAAGCTGTTCTTTAAATTAACCTGGATCTGTCATATGGCTAGATATACCATAATTTCTGATTTAGAAATTTAAATGAAATTGTAGTTTGACATGTTAACAAATTTTTCAGTTTTAACGTCACACATATTTAGAACAAATAAGTGCAATGGCCCTCCAACATCAAATTATATAATTTATGCATTAAATACAGGGTACAACTTTGAGAGCAAGCTCACTTTATCTTATGTAGAAGATTGCCTTCAAAAGCTCACAATCCTGAACCATAAAACCACAAAACCGTAGTTGAAAGTGACCTCTGTGGATCATCTAGTCCATGAGTGTACAAACTTTTGGCTTGCCTGGGCTGCATATATGTAGGTTGATTTGAAAGTAATCCCTCCTACTTATTTCCATGGAAACTACAACAGACACAAAGAGCACAATAACACCACATATTACAGCAAATTCTCTAGAAAACACTATTTTTTTCCAATAGTCACCACTGTTAACTATATATTTTCAACAGCAGTGCTTAAGAGCCTGCATGCTGAGCTTGTAGATGTCTGAAGTTTGCAGTCACAGCAGAAGTGACCCACAGTTGACATCATCACTGTTGAAAAACACTACCTCCTATCTCACCGTGCTCACATCTACCATTTGGTCTCCATCAACATTCAGTACGCTTCAATGAATGTCAGTGGGTGCTATTTTATCCTGCACAGAGGAATTCAATGATACCCCTTTGTTTCATACACACTTCCACATCAGATGCCATTTTGTCAGACCACCTCTCTACTGCTATACCATCAATATTCATCTCTAATGTTGTGAGCCATCACCATAAAATAGGAGACGTTACTTGTAGAGCAGCACTCATTTCTTGGAATGAAATTAGTTCCCTAGGCATGAGTTGATATAGGAAAAAATAATTCAATAACACTTGTCAGGAAATAATTTTTTAACTCAACATCAAGTCTTTTGACTTCAAAGAAAAGGTTATACACAAATAGTACAGAAACAAAGTTTTTTATTTATTAGGATATGTATTGTGGTGGCTGGAGAAAATGGTGATTCCCTTGGTTACAAGGATGATTAAGGCTGTGCATAACATTTCACAGATGCAGTAAATGAAAACTGAATTTCTGCTTTTCTATGTGGGAACTAACATAAAGATAATTGGAACAAACCAATGTTGGTGCACCTGTGTGCAGGAAGGAATCTACACTATATGAATTAATCCAAGAGAAGATCAGCATACACTGCTTAAATAGGGAAAAAGAGAACACAGAAATAATAGAATAGGGAATTCATTTGAAGAGTGAATAGACAGAATACACTGTAAGTGCATGAGAAAAGCAAGCTACAGGACACAGTTCTACCTATCATGGCTTTCACAGCCCCTATTAGTATAGATAAGGAGCAGAATCAGGAGAATTAGAGTTTCGCAGCAAAATAAGTTAACGTATCAATTCTTATTATATTTATTATGTTCTTCATAAAACTGATAGAAAGATTGTTTTAGTGAGATAGTGCTTCATTGGTTTGTTCTGTTTTTTTTTTTTGTTGTTGTTGTTTCTCCCCCTCCCCCCTCAGCAACACTACAATATTGTTTATCAATGACTGTTGGATCAATAAACATTACATTTTTTTCTACTTTGGAATGAGGAAAAAGCAATAATTTTAACTTTTACTTATAAAATGAAATTATAGATAGGAAAAAGACCCCAGAAAAAATGTTTAAAAAATACAAATTTAACAAAACCAGAACACAAATGAAAAGAACCAATTCAGTCACAGAAGCACACTTGAATCAAGTATCTCACACTTTCTAATACCTTAAAAAGAAAGTGTACATAACCATAATATAAAGTTTTTATAAGCTGTTCCTGTCTATCTTAGTTTAAGAAAGAATACTACAATAAGAGCTTATCCAGAAAAATACTTCAAGTTCTTATTACCTGCTTACCTCACTCCATAAGTGAAAAGATCTTCAAAAGAAAACAAAAACAGCACAACCTTAAAAAAACAAACAACATAAAAAATACTTCCTCATCTATCAGTTTCGACATTTTTAACATAAACTCTGAAAATTTACTACCATGCCTTTTACAAGATTACTGAACAAAAAATCCACAAAATCTCCATAGTAAAATGCCCACATACTTCAACATCAGCTGCCTCCTAAAAACCCTTATACAGAGTTTTCCGTCACTAGCTAGAAAAACACTGTGATTATAATAGTTCTTCTAATTAAGGGTGATTAATAACAAACCTGTCTCAAACTGAGTGCACCTGGTTCAACAGCTGAGGCCAATTGATAACATACCATATAAGTAGTGGGCTGAAAAAACACTTATACATGTAAGAATATTTTCTTATAGGTATAGTTTTGGATGAGAGTGGATGTTATTCTTGATTGGTGGTGGTTGTCATTGTTAGTTTCCCAGGTTTGTATTGTCGGTAACTTTGTTTATGGCTTTTTTTGTTTTTCTTTTTTCCAGGTCCTTGATTTATCTGTTGAGCAAAACTGGATACAGTACTAACTCTTGGAGAGCATGCCTCCTATTGGATCTTGTACTGCTGTTTGTAATCTTCTGAGCTCTGCCAGTCAGACATCTGGTTCTACGTTACTATCTGTCTACTTGGCTAGTATAAATGGGGCAGAATTTTCCTCTGCCTGGAGTACTGAATGGCTTAAGAATGATTTGGCCACACTGAAGCATATAATTTGCATGCTACAAGGTACAGTCCTAGATCTCTTTCTTGTAAACAAAGAACTTTTTGTGGGTGAAATAACAATTAGTGGCTATCTTAATCGTGGTGACAAGAAAATGTAGTCAAATCTAAAACCCTTTGTGATGGGAGGAAAACAGCCACCAACAATATATCAATAGAGTTGACTTGCTGTTACCACTACTGAAACATACCATGCATTGTCTTACTGCACTCACGTCCACTGTTTAGGCTCCATAAATTTTCAGCAAGTGTTGATGATTGTTAATTGGGACCATTTTTTAATGTATGAAGGAATTCAATGATATACCTTTGCTTTAGATAAACTTTCATGTCAGGCATCATTTTGTCAGACTGTCTTTCTCTTTCTGTCTGGCAGTAAAATGTAATTGGATATTGTACAGAAGATTCAACCTGTACTTCCATCTCACAACATCTGCTTCTGATATTGTGGACCAACATAATAAAACAGGAGGCATTACTTTTGGAGCAACCTTGATGAAATATTGAATATAACTAATCTACATAAGTAACAAAATTCATCTTCATTTTTAATATTTTCTATTATAAACATAAAAAGCAACAAATGCAAACTAGTAGCATATGTGACCTTGTTTTTGTGAAACTAATGGTTTGATGGCAGAGGTTGCAATTTTCGTTGAGTTCTAAAGATGTTTGACAGAGGTTGCTGATGAAATATTACTCTTCCTGTGCTTCGTCTTTGAAAATAGTTGTTCACAAATGTACATACTGCCAAAAAGTGATTATATGAATAAGGCATAATTGTGAAGTGAAGGATATTTTTCTCAGGTTAAGATAGAACCGATAAAAGTGTGGTAAAGATGCATAATAAAACTTTTTTGAGTTGATGTTGTGGTTTAAGCTGGCAGGTGGCTGAGTTGAATGCCTGCTTGTAACTCTACAATGTCTTTTTCAAAATTCACAGGCAACATACTTATGTCAACTGAAAATGGAGCTGCAAATATACAGAGAAATAGATTACCAATAGAAATCTTGAAACTTGTTCACAAGATTCCTTCATCAAAACAGAATATGTAGCATTATTTGCCATAACTTGAGTTAGCATTGTGCTGCATCCTCCCTGTGTCCTGGATTCAGCCCAAATATTGCCTATTGCATGCCAGTGTTTGGTTGTGAGTGATGGGTGCGCATCCAGGGCTGGGTCAGGCATCACAGTGAGGCAGAACAGTTGTCATGATAGTGCTGGTCAGGAGGTGGCAGCAGAATGGGCTGGGCTGAGCTTCTTATGGCCTACAGTTGTGGGTTGGACATGTCTGAACTAGTCCTACCCCCTTGCTAAAGCAGGTTCTGTGCAGTAGGTTACACAGGAAAGTGTTCAGGGGGGTAGTGAATATCTCCAGCGAAGGAGACTCCACAGCCTCTCTAGGCAGCTTGTTTCAGTGCACTGTCATCCTCTTTGCATAGATATTTCTTTTTCTTGTGTTCATATGGAACTTCCTGTATTCTAGTTTGTACCCATTGCCTCTTGTTCTGTCACTGGGCACTGTAGATAAGTGGCCCCATCCACTTAACTGCTGCCCATTTGATGTGTATTAGCATATATGATCTATTCTTTTTTGCACTTTCATGTGGTACATTCTGGGTGTGATTTTTCTAGGTATTTCAGTAACTTTTCCAATATTTTTTTCTAGGCATTCAGAAAGTTAGCTTTTGTCAACTGTACTCCTTGTAACTCTGTGGGGTAGAAGAAGAAATCAACTCCTATATCAAAGTTTCTGTGATTTCAAGTCCTTCCCAGTAGGTTATTCTAATTGCAGCTAATAAAGTTTGAAGGATGCATGCTAAAGGCATATGTGCTTAAGAATAACTTGTATCAAATGAAGGGTAACAAAGAAATATAGATAAACAGTGAAATTAGTTAATAAATTACTTATTCATAATGATGCTCACAAGACTGAATAATCGGTAACAAACACTGTTGGGTGGAACATAATGTTCTTTTTGCACTGTGAGTCAGACTATAGTATCGGAATTCAACACTGTATGATCACATACATCTGTGGTACTGTCAAAATAAGATGAAAAAGCCAATGAATAATGAGTAAATTAGCCAGGCCAACTCCTTCCAACCCAGCCATGAACAGAGCAGATGAGTGGTGCAACAGGGTAGCCTGAGCTCAGGGCTAGGCTAAGGGGCAGGAAGAGACCATGGCTGGGCCCAGTAAGGCTTTTTTTTTTGTGTGGGGGAGAGGGAAAGGTCATAGCCCAGCTCTGCTGCAGCCTTGCTGGGTCTTGTGGAGGAGGGCAAGAACAGGGAATGGTTTGCAGTGCCTCAGGGCATCATCTAAACAATGCTCTTTCTTTCCTTTTCAGTAAATATTGAATATTTTAAAGAAATCAATATAACACAAATGTTTTAGAAGTGAAATTAATTAGGTAAATGAATTCAAAAAGAAAAATTGCCTCTGATATCCTCAAATAATATTGGTAACTTGATACCAACAATATCTTTCATATATTTGATGGTTATCTTTCATCATTTTGCCATATTGTACCCCCATACAGGGGCATGGAATTCAAAGCTATACCTTGATTAGAACCTATACTTGCAGTTTTGTTTAGCATCATAAACCATTCATGATATGATCTTCTGCCCATCTTTCCCATGTCTCTGTTTCACTATTTTCTTGGCTTCTCTATTAGTACTTCTCTTTTGGTAGCTTCACATTCAATCACCATATGTTCCTGTGGTAGGGTTTGGCCATCTGAGAGAGTCATAGCCCCTCCAGCTGACCTTGGCTCTAGCTTGCTGGGAAAATACTTGTTGAGATGTGAGAAAGTAAGAGAGTGAAAATGAGGACTGATAAGGAAAGTGAAAACAGATGGAGTGTAACCATTGAAGCAGCAAGTTAACAGCCCTGAGACTCAAAAGAAAAAGAGCTGACTTAAAAATGTAAAACCTTTCCCCTGCTTTGGAGGAGTTTGGCTCTTTCCTAGCTGACTGATAGAGATCAGGATACTCAGACTGTCTCTCCTAATCCAGGAGCTTGCTGCTCCTAGCTAATCATCATGCATCATTCAAGAAAAAAAAAAAAAGATTTCTTCCTACTTCTCAATATTGCTCACCCTGCTATAGCTTCTCTGTTCAAGGAAGATGTACTGTTTCTAAAAATGTTGCTGCATCCATGGCAAAGCTAGTGAAAACTTGTGAGAATTTATACTAAAATATATTGGTTATCCAAAAAGTTCTAATAGTCAACTGTAAAAAAAAAAAAAATCATTTCGAAATGCAAATACTTAATATCTTGATGTAGTTATCTCAAATGTCAAAATTAGTGACTGAAAGATAGATCTATTTCATTCATTTTTTAAAAAGTTCAATTATTTAGAACTTAACTCCCTCCCCCCTTTTCCTTTACATGAATAAAAATGTAATTTAAAACAATACTTTTGCATCAGCAGTTGTGTTGATGTGTATTTTCAGTACACAGAGTTTTACTGAAAATTCCTACCTAGGTATTTGTACAATGAGCATTCTATTAAATTACAGCAGACTATGGTGTGATAGCTGTAGAAAACTAAAGTTTTTAGGAATTGCATATTCATCTAGTGACACTCTTGAAGAATCCACAGAAACTAATTCGCAATTACTGGCACCAATGTTTTCAGTGTAAGCAGCTAATAAAAGTATACATAAATCAGCAAGAAATGACAGAAACAATTCTGATTAAATCTGGCTAAGAAACTCCTGCACATCTCCAGAAACATAAGTTTCTCAGAAGATCTAAATTCTTGCAGATTTACGTTAGCACATTTTCCTTCCTTGGAATTATGACATTAAAACACACTGGCTGTAACTTTTCAGTCTCTGGTAGAGCAGGATATTAAGTTCTGCCTTTTAATTCCTACTCCAGACCCTGGGAGACTTCCTCTCACATTTTCCTCAATGTCTGTGGATATTTTGAATTCATTCATTATGATGTTTATTGTTACAACTTTTTATAAAGACATTTTTTACAAATACAAAAATTATGCTGAACTACATTTTATAAACAGTGATATAAAGCGAGAATTGTTATCTCAGCTAAGTGAGTAACAAAAAAAAAAAATCACTTCATGCAATGTGTCAACTTCTCACATGTTCCTTTTTAACAGTATCTGAAGTTAAACACCTTAATCCTTTTTTTTTCCCCATTGGGATTTGTACAGTCAGTGACTGAAATTTACATAAAATTGGCTTATTTAACCCTAACTTGAAGCAAAAGTAAGCCTTCCCAGAGTGAAGTTTTTAATTATATGCTTAG